AGTTTGTATGTATGTCCGCGTGTGCTGCATGGCCCACGTAAGTGCAGCATTGGTCTCAGCATGGGGAATTCACCGAGATGTAGAATACGGTAGGTCATAATGAGATTGACTCGTACCCGACGGTAGGGCAAGGTGTAGAGTCCTAGTTTCTCGCACCGGTCTTCATACCCCAAGCCACGTAAACTCGGGATGAGCCTGGTAGCAACATGTTGGACTCGTGGCTCGAGCTAGACCATCGAACTCCGTTTTCCATTAGTTGTAAGCTGGTCCCAGCGGACGTGAATACGACAAATTCCATATCAGTTATAAGCACTGAGTGATCGTTTGTGGCCAGCGGCTCCAGGATCCGTACGTCACGCACTCGTTGTTCGTAGCTCGTTAACATCTGGTCGAGACAGGACGGGGTTGAGCGGTTTGTTATGCGCGTTGGCTGGCATATATGTTGTTCACTTTACGAGCACCAAATAGCTGCACCCCAGGCGTACTAAAGTAGATCGTAACCAAATAGTTTCTAGCCACAACAGGATACACAACGGTATGTACAAACGGATGGGTACTTGGATGACAACCATGCTACGTCTTGGACATTTGCAAAACAGTGCGAACACTGTTTGGAAAACCGCAAGTTTGACAGTGGCCAGCGGAACTTAGTTGATGTAGTACTGTGGTAGTTGTCGTGTCAAATAGGCCGTAAGAGGCGAACACCAACAGTTCGTATTGGGTACTTAGTCGCATGCCTGTGCAAGTAACTGTTAGCCTGACCTCCAAACCAAACCCATACCCACAAGTACCACAGGGTGACTGCTTCGGCATTGTGAATAATCCGAAAACAAGATGGCGGACAATTGCCGGAATAAATGGTGATAGCAAGATGGCCGAAACCAAGCGATGAGAACACAAATATTTCTAGAGAGCAAGAACGAACAGCATTTACGCGGGATAACCTGAATTCAGATTATTTCGTGTCTTCTCATTCAGCCGCTTACAGACAAATCGTGGAAAGAGTAAAGGAATGCAATTGAAAAAGGGAGTCACGATTTGTCTGTAAGCGGCTGAATGAGAAGACACGAAATAATCTGAATTCAGGTTATCCCGCGTAAATGCTGTTCGTTCTTGCTCTCTTGAAATTTCTGAAGGGAAATGGCTGCATGAAACAAATATTTCTGGTCAGGGAATTCAGAATCAGAAATGAAACTGAATTGTATCTAATTTTCCGCGAAATACTTCCAATGAACGAAGAAATCTAACACAAAGTGATCTTGTCAACCCAGCCACAAATAACCGACCGGAGACTGTTATCTGCAGTTAGTATAGCATGAAATTTATTTTCATATAAATCCGAACACATTGACGAGGTCTCACGTAACGTCAAACGCAGTTCAACCATGCCGTGTTGTAATAAATCAAAAAGCAATGTGCATTTCGCGTTTAATCATTTTTTGAAGAAAAAGTCGAGCCTTGTCTATTTATTTCTCTTATTACAAAGGTAACTGTGAGAAGCGCTCTCAACACAAGCCACATTACTCAGTATGCTTTGACGTTTTTACCCAGCAAATGATCTCAGTTGCATTAAAAGATGTCTGACTTAATCTTCTTTCGGAGTTTCTGCGACTTCCAAATTATCTGGTTTTTGGCCGAATAACCTACTTGCCAGGCAGTGGAGCGTATTCAACTAATCGAGCCCATTGGTAGCCGGTGACTGATTGCTTTGTTCATACCCCTTTCTTTTGGTCGTATGCCAGACAGGGGCCTAAGTGTCCCACCATTTCACTATGAAGTTGCTGGTATTCAATGCTTTACCATATTGAAGCAAGGGGCAGTCCATTTATATAGTGGCGAGTCAAATCCACCACGTCACAGTGTTGTTTAACGGGCATATGTGCTTTGTATACTGACAACACTTGCCAGGGGAAAACGCACCACGTACTGGAAAACAGTTTGCTGGAACGGTCTAATTTCTGACCACTCAACCGGCAACACTCGGCGATTATTCTACAAGCTTGCCTTTCCAACAACCTGTTATCAGTACACCGGCCCCTTGGCCTTGAGGACCACAAAGCCGCTTTGTAATCCGAGGGAGGGGGTTCGAGCCTGCGTAAGTGACCGGGCGACCCTCGCAGAATTCTTAGCTCACGTGCGAATGGTGGTGGTTACGTGGCACCGAAACATCGATACTACCTACCGGCGTATTGCTGACCCTGCTGATGCTTCATGACACCGCGCTGCTGACGTCATAAAACGGGTAAGCGAGCGGACAGCAGTTGCACACACCTAGGAGTTAACTTACGCTCCTTGCCCTTACGAAGGTTTCATAGCCCTCGCTCGGTCACCCTTATTAGTTCTCCCAACTTATCTTCGTGCCTTTGGATGTGCGTACCCGGAGATGCTGATTCCGCTGTGTTAATGTGAACTGATGATGATGAACCACAAGTGGTCGATTTGATTAGTTTCTGAAATTCGGAATTATACCACCGCTGGTCCGGGTTCTCTTGTGTCTTTTCACCGTAAAAATAGCGGTTGGACCCACTGTTCAAGCAGGCATGGAGAGAAGAGACCATAACAGAAAATCTATAGCAATATCCATGAAATGCAGTCGTGGTCTTTCTGTTAACCACGCGGCACAAGTTTGACGCCATCTGAGTAACATCTACTGCCGCCCATTCCCGTGTATTGCCTTGATGCGAAAGTGAAATCGAACGGACGGGCTTCTAATCCAGTCAATGCCGTATAGCCAGATGTTTTCATTCTTTGGCACGTGCTAAGTCAGCGTAACTTGTGCCGCAGCACCACAATAACTGTATTCCTTGACTTTAACGATGCATTCGATTCTTTCCATCGTTTCGTCCTGTTCGATGTTCTTTAGCTAACATCCCTGGTCTACGGTGGATTGTCTGGCCCTTTTTCTACAGTAGACGGTTTCTTTCAGGGATGTCCAATCTCACTATTTCTACTTAGTTTTCTCGTGGGCTTTATCATGTTGTTCTCCCCTGTGGAATATCGCGATGCACCGATGTGCAGCTTAGAGGATTGCCCGTTCGTCTCTGTTTTGCAGATAACAGACGGCACATTTAATTCAGAACAATCTTTGAAGTAGTTCCATCTTCTGGTGCACACTTTCGAAGTGTGTTTGCAAGACCACTTGCTGCTTTCTTCTCCTTTGCTCCTTGACAACGATGAACTGGAGATATTTGATCAATGCACCTATCCTGATGGCTGCATTAACACCGACGGGCGTGCAAGCTGCTACTTGAGTTAGTTCACCTACTACCATTATCGGAGATGCGTTCACGAATCTGTGGCGGTTGTGCAACCAGAGGGGGATTTTCCTTGGTCTAGGGTCTTTCACTTCGACCCGAAGCTATCAACCGACGCTACGCCCGTAGAGATTTGCTGTTGTCGGATGACACCAGCATGTCCGCATCGGAATGTTGCGCAGACGACTAACAGTTGACTGAATAAGTTGCATTGACTACTATACATGCTGCATATGCTCACCTACTACTTAACAGGGAGGACCTTGTTTTGGTTACCGAATCTAGGATCCCGCAATGCTTGGGGCTCATAATCAGTGGGCTGACAGCTAGGAATTCGGTCACTGGATTGTCCATTGGATGCTGTCGATTTTTTCCTCTTACCGAGTGGTATGCGCGCAACCAGACCCTTTTTTGGCTACGTACCTAAATGAACGTTGCCCTCGACCGACGCCAGTGGCGATTTTTCCATCATCTAATCGGTTTAATTGTTGCAATTTGGTTGCTGATAAGATATCGCCTTATCCTTGAACGATAGCCAGCTGTTCGTGACCATGTGCTGGTGGCAAAGTCTTGGCGCATTCACCCTAACTGTTTTTGGGATAATTAGGCCTTACAATGAGTGCATTTTCTCCCTCCTGATTACTGTTCTTCTTTGGTACAGCTTTTGCGATTGTACGACAGCAGAGCAGTTTTATAAGTCACTGATATGCCACTGTTCCTACTGTTCCTATCTAGACACTTGGATATTATCCTAAAGCCAGGCGCCACCTTTGCGCTACTTCCTTGACTTCTCACGGTTGAATATTTGACTACTTTCCATGTTTCTTACAACCCTAAAATGCTCACTTCTTTCATTGCCCATTTGCGTGGAATACCTTTCTGTCCTTCTATTTTTTTCTCTCTAACTCTTAACACACCAGCATGCTAACTGTTTTGCTTTCATTTTTCATACATTGCATTTGCATCGGTATTCTCACGGTTGAGCTAACCCGGGTTCACTCCCCATACACCAGCCCGTTTGCGAAACCTCCTCTTCATTTGTCCCCCCCACCTGCATCGTCAGTCATGGACGAAATGTATTGGTAATATGCCCTACCTAATCACTCTCTTTTCTCATCATTGTATGCTTTCTCATGTTCTTGTTGTTCAGTCTTCCATTTCCTATGCGATTACAGTCGAAAACGATCTCATCCTCCACAAACTCCTAATCACAGGTAAAATTGCAGTTCTGCAGCCGTGACGGAAAAGCGCGTCGAAGGAACAGTGACCGAAACGGTGCAAGTAGTCTGACAGTTAAGACGCATTTATTGCTCAAACCAATGGCTTGTTTCCTAATCATTTATGTCAGCCACCAGAAATAGCTGTTTGGAGCCGATTAGGCCATTGAGAGAGAGGTGCGCGTTTCGTGTGACGGACTGAGTGCTTCGGCCCAAATTGTTTTTCATTGAAATAATGAGTTTCCCGGAAGATTTTACTCCCACCCGGATATCTATCACAATATTCATCTACACTGTTTCCGTTTGCCTATTTTGCGAATTGTTTTACATGTTTGGCTCATTATCGTTAATCTTCCTAGGCCTATGTCGGGATCTCGGTTTCATCCCATTAGCCTGAGTTATCGCACGCTGGCCATCACCCGAATTGTCGAGTGAAGCAAAGTATTCTCGAATAATCTATTATTCCATCCTCATTAACCACTGAATAATCACACGTTTCGAATTTTTCAACTCTTCATCACCCCTTTCTAGAAGCTGATTGTTCGTATCGGATATGCTGCAAATGATCGTGTCTCTTGGTCCTCCTCGGGTTTCATGCTTGATGAAGCGAAACCAGCATCCCGTGACATTGCCGGTTTGACTGTCGTTTGTTCCGTCCCCATGGATGTCACTCTAGACGACTGTACTAATTCGCATGGACCAGATATATTGGAATCGCTTGGTTCGAAGGCATTTTCTCTAGATCCCCCACCTGGCGAAATTGAACAGATCCCGAGAGATGGATTCATCAGACTGACGATTGCGACAGAGTCTTCCTTGATTTCTCTGCTCGTGCGGCGTATGATCCCCACAGAACCCCTTGGACCTGATTCCTATCCTATGGGTGATATCCTCTTGATCGAAAGTCTTGTGTCCGTGCGGTGTGTCAGCAGCTGTTTGATTCGCATCACACCAATTTTATTCCCTGTTTGTGATCACCCGGAAGAAGTCGTGACTCAAGTAAGCAGTTGTACGGTCGTTCTGTTTGTCTCCTTGCCCACTTTAAACCTCAGCATATTCCCACTTTGTTCTTGTGCTGCTCTGCAGGTTCTTGATACTGTTTGCGTTATTCCGTTTCTTCCCACCACCAGTGGTAATGCACACTCCTTAAATTCCACGATTCACTGCCTCTTTTTCCGGCAACCGATCAGGGTGAGCGTAAGCATTCATATGGTCTTCTCAATACTACTAACAATAGCCGATATGCAACGATACACTTAACTACACCATTTCCCGGCCAAGTTGTCCTCTTGGGCAACAGAACTAATCTGAGGGGACATTCAACATCAGTCTACTCAATTAATCTGTTCCGTGTGTAGGAGCTGAAGCGTTCCACCTGCACCCCTATGACTTAGTGCGTCTGAGGTCCAATTGGCTGAAGGCGACGGGCTATACACGCACGCCTACACACCTGCACATGTGACTGGCGTACGCACGGAACAAATTAATTGAGTAGACTCATGTTGAATGCCCTCCTCTTATTCTTTTTGTTGCCCAAGAGGACAACTTGGCCGGGAAATGGTATAGTGTGTGGCCAAACAATCATGAAATGCAATCCTACGTCGAAAGGCTGATTTCTCTCCAATTCCGTGACAATTTATGAGCCGTCACACGGCATTTTATCAGCAGTTAATTCGTTATCAGCGGTTAACTTTTCTACACATTTTGCCTTGTTGACGTCACCGAATGCTCCACAGTTGTTATGCGATGAAAGCAACAACTTAGATATTGATTTCCTGGTATTGATCTTTTTGGCAGATTGGGCCACCTCCTTTTTAGGCCTTTTCTCGTGTGGCCCAGTGAGGGTCAAAATAAGCCGTGAGCAGCGACAAAATTCTGTAGTGTATTAACAGAAGAGTCATTCATACTGAACGTTTGTTTCTAAATCACTATTCCTTTGTTAGTCACTTTCGCTGGATAGTTCTTGTTATCTTTTCTTAGCCGCCCACCTAAATTCATCGGGCAGCGTTCGCTGCTCATTCGTTGATGCTTTGGGTCCTCCGCACCTGCCTTGTCTGCAGCCTTGTTGAATCCCGTTCGTGTTGGGCTGGTGGACCACACATGCCTTGCGCATCTGGCCCACTCAGTTACCGTTGACCTACACAGGTTGTTTTGATTGGCTACCCATCCGGCGATGCTGCGTCGCTTATGTTCGCATGCGCCGCCGGTACCTACGGGCCAATGCCTACTGTGCACAACAGAAAAAACTGTATTATCACACTTTCAGCTTTGTCTAACTGTCCGTACGTGCCAGTGGCTCGTTGTTATTTTCCTGTCACGAGTCTAGTTATTTTTTAAAATCATCATGTCGGTTTGCCATTGTGTTCCTTGGACATCTTCACCAAGATAGTCTGCGTATTTTTCCCTCTTTAACTGGCAGGTTTCCATCTCCAAACTACTGCACGATAGTGTTCCATTTTGTAAACCGATGAAAACCTCCCCGTTGCCTCGGTGGTTTTTGTCTCACCCTGGGTTGTACAACGCAACTGGGTTTGGACTTAGTGGCTGTCTTCTGCTTTCGTCGGAGAGCGGTGAAACACCGTTGGTGCCCGTGCTCCTTCATTCTTTTCTCAGTATTTTCACCATGGATTGTTCCAACTACGGGAACAGTCATCCGGAAACATGTCCACGTGTTCAATTGGTGTCCTTTCCTTCAGATGAACGGCCTGGTGAGCGTTCCTTGCGTTGTATACTTTTACGATTGAGTTGGCAGTCTGTTTTGCTGTCATTAGTGCTACTGTCTTTTGCCTCTTGGGTAGACAGTCCGTTTCCCGTCTGGGACTGATGTCACATATCTTGCTCTTTTTCGCTCCTACTGCGTTTAACCAATTTACTTTCCGTAATCCACGTTATGCCTGGCCAACGTATTCACTGCTTAAATCCGCACGGACCATTGATGATTATAAAGCAGTTAATTCCCTACAGCAATTTAAAAAGCACGGAAAGAAAACAAAAGCTGGAAGATGCCTGCATCTCGTAGTATCTCTTCAGTACTATGCAACAATTCACCTAAGTAAGGTGTGACTAAATAAGCTGGAGGCGCAAATTGTACGACGAAATTTCAGCCCTTATGTCCATGAATTTTGTGACTGACAAACAATTGCTTTTGAACGCACAGAGCTGGCCTCATCCGGATTAGTGTGCGGTAGATTCATCGGAACGAAGGAAGCAGCAGGGATCAGGGTGACGCAAAGCAATTGTGAACGCTGATCCGAGCTGTATCCGATGATGCGTGACCCGTTGAGATTTGATTGTTGAGGAATATTGCGGCCTGTTCAGTCTCACGTTGAACCCACGTTGGTACGTATCATTCAGAAAATTAGAGGCCTAAGGTATCCTATGTAACTGGCGCCGCATTCACCTACGATTTGGTTTATACAATGTGTGTCGGTCCCGATTGACTGAACCTCCCTCAGTGAAGGACAACCACTTGAGCAGCATTGTAGTCTCTGCTTATCAAAGACTAAGCGCTTAGTAGTCTTAGTAGCACAACAAACTCACCTTTAAAACGCAACTGGATGCAGACCTTTTTCTTTTTTGTTGTTTCGTTTTCTAATTTACTAATTACGCAGTGTCTTCTGGTCTACTGATATGACTTGTCACTCTTGGTTCACTGACAAGTTCCTTGACCCTGTCGTTCACCCCGCCGAAAGCCTGAGAATCGCTCTACTTTTCACTGGCGGAGACCGGTGTACAAACATCTTGCCTACTCTTTCAGAAATGCACGCGTGCGTCAAGCGAGCTTCTCACTTTAGTTGGTTCATATAAAGGCACGAGCACACCTGCGTTGTACCGGTTTAGCCCTTAACTTATTAGGAACGGAATATTTACTCAACGGGTGTACCATGACGAATGTGTGTGTTACCTTGTAATCCGGAGGCCACGGGTTCGAATCCGCATAGGTGCGGGCGATCTCGCGCAACCGGTGGTGGTCGCATGGCACCGAAGCGTCGGTGCGGTATACCGGCGTACTGCTGAGGCCATTTTGTAGACCACGAGGCAGTTGGGTAGTCTGTATGCACTCATATATCTTCCTGCACAGCCACATGTTCCATGGTTCATTATGAAGTACAGCTGGTTCCATTTGATTAAAGCCCACCATCTGTGTACATTCGATTGCGCGCTGATGCCAAATCGAACCGGACTACTTCGGTGTGTGTCTCGTCTGAAATCAGCGCGCCAAAAATCATGTAGCAAAAATCACGTAACCGTCTAAAAATATGGGTGAATTTATCAAATAGCCTCAACCAGATGACCGTTTCCTTCATCCATTGTTGTTCTCAGTGGGACACTGTTTTGCGCTTTAGTTTGCGATTTTCACATTTTGTTTACATACTTTTGGCATTTTGTCTAACGTAACGAAATTCCCAAGCCGTCACGTTGCTATCGATAATGTGATTTGCTAACACACGATGTCCACGTTTTCTCGCATACAGTCGCATGGCCAGGAACACTGAATAAATTCTCAAGTGGACCTTTGGTGACAAGTTTAAGCCTCTTGTTGATTGACAGTGCGACCTCAGTCGTTGCCCTACCGATAACGTACAAATCCCGTTGATAGTTCCCGGTGACCGGCGTGCGTTTTTTGCTTAACTTGAGTGCGTGAATACTGGATGGTTGGTTGCAACCTGATGAGGAAAATGGATTTGTCCACTCCCATTACTATTGTCCCATTAGGTCCAACTGCCTTGGAATGCCTACAAGAATCATCTTTTCGGGTTTATACTGGATGCAGTGTGTCAGTAGGACCACAGGTGGTGCAGCGGTAGGCAATTATGTTCCCTTTGTAGGTGCAGGCTTCTTGTGGCTTCTAAAGACGGATACCGTCAACCATGTGTTGTGGGGATGGGGGGCCATCCCATTAGCATTGTCCCACATTCGATGGATATTTGACTGTTTTTATTGACACTCTTAAGACATTCGTACTTTAACCCAGTTGTCATCCGACGACAAACTTTTTTAACCCCTTATCAAACGGTATAAGTAGAGAGCATGGCAAGCAACAGCGAATGAGACAGTAACATTTGGACCTATCAACATACCACAGATATAGGCACCGCGAAAATGAGAAGGCGGGCGCAGCAACTTCAAGTTCTCCGAAGCCGGGCAGAAAATAAACGCATGAGTGTTCTCTTAATGAGCAAAGACACCGGATTTACCCCGTGTATGTTCTTGGTTGCAATAGTCAATTTTTTTGAGCCACTCTCGTTTTCTTCATTGTAAATGAATTGCGATACATAGTTCCAATTCGGATCACAGTCCGTTCGCTTGCTGGGACTGTGTTTGACGTTTGAGTGCATGCCAGCGCGATTTCCGTTGTCAAGTGCAGCGCTCCAACTAGCCAACATGCAACACCCCTCCAATTCGCTTCCCTTAAGGCCTTTGTATACTTCATGAGTATGGGGTCGGCGTGTAGCTACCACTGTGTTAACTGTTGATTGCTCACTGTTACATCGTATCCACTTGCGTCGATATTGATTTTCCGGCCGACACGCTCCGGTGGCACTCCGTATTCACCGTCCCAATTCCACTGGTCCGATTTCGACTTCACTTCTAATCGTCCCAATTGTTTCCATTCCGAGATATGAACTTTACTGCTTCACCAGACCTCTAGCCTGAACGAAGTAAAAATCAGTACGCAGTTGACCTTGGCGAAATAACGCGTTAACGGCCGCCAAAAATATGTGCAACTGAAACAGATCTTGGTTGCACTTATAGGTCGCTTAACGGTCTTCGACTGGAATAGAAAGGTCAACTGGCAAAACTGGTAGTGCCATGCCGATCCGGCCAATTTTCACTTGGCAGTCATGTGCAGGTCTTGGAATATTCCATAAAGTTTTAGCTTGATGCTATAGTCGGTAAGGATCGATTAATTGCTGAATTAATGACTTTTCTGGGAAATGCTTATGGTCCCGGACAACTTTGTTCTCTTTCCTTATTTCAATTTTTCACATTGACTTTCCCCGGCTTCGAGCATAGTCGAAAATTAAGCAATTAATGATACAACTAAACCATGTTGATCTTCCCAAATGCAAAACACCTTATACTCGTCTGTACACGGTTTAATTCCTCGTTCACCTTTCCTTTGTTCTAACGGTGTTTGTGTATGTCAACAATCTGTTCCTCAGGTGTTGGTAGTTCATTTCTCCCATTTCGCTTCATTTTTTTCCACACAGATCCAGTGCCGAAACTCATTGTTCTCACCCACGCCCCTGCGAGCACTGGAAAGGTGATAATCGATTTTATAGACTTCGCCTACGATCCATCTGTTCTCCCGACGGCTCTTCGTATTGTGAACAAGACAGATAGGGCGGATTTATGCGTGAACTTGTGCGATCCCCATTGGTCTGTTCTGGACAAGAAGCAACACGATTCCTGGCATCGTGCTCTTTCTGATACCCGGTGGACCCTTAATGCTCACAATGGAGCCTTAGTATGGATACCGGAGTCCACCGTGAGAGATATGTACATCTCGGACGATTCCTTTTCAATCTCCACAGACGCTGGTGTCAGCCCATTTCTTAGCCCGTCGTCTCTGGGCGACGTTGTACTATCAGTCGGTTGTCGCTCTGCTGATGGCAGAAGCACAGTGACTGGAGTCGACCTCGGCACCTTGTTCGCCAGTGGTTCCGGACTGGCTATTGGTTTACCCGATTCTACTAGTATCCACCTATTCGGCCTTTGGGATCCTCAGTTGGGAACGACCGTGTTAATCTACTCTGAACCCCAACATCTTACATTGAACGATGAGGTTTCTGTTACTCCCCTTGCAACATATTCTCTTACGTGTGGCCAATTTTCCGTCAGTTTGCTCACTTGCAAACCTCTGTGGCCACTCGAGACACGATATGGCGCTCCAACGAATCTCTGTTCCACATTCACTCCACAACCTCCCAAGGATGAATGCGTTCGTTTGGTTATGCGTGGTCTTCGTATCGATTCATACATGGCCACTTCGCCAACTCCCCTGTGCGATGTGAACATTCGCCTGCGTCACCTTCAATTGGATAACTGGGCTCAGAAGTGGACCCACGCATACGACTTCCCTGTGTTGTTGCGATCCAACACTCCTGCAGTGCTTTGTATCCGTATCCAGTCGCCACATTTCAGCCTCCAGCCAGTTGTTTTTTCCGCCTTTTTATACCCTCCGCAGTTGGATTTGTACATAGAGGATACTGCGGTTCACGAGTTCTCTGATTTGTTACTAGACTACTACCATACCCTATCACGAGCTCGAACCGCCAATCTTCCCGGTGATCGTCTGATTGTACACTCACAACCTCTATATTTGAAGTGTTTACACATTGCCTCGTGCACCGTCCTCCTCACAGTCCGTGCCACGCTTCGTGTCTATTTATCGTGTCACGAGGCCCCTGTGACTCTTGCGGCGTTTAGCTTGCGTTCTATTGACGGTGGAAGACATGGGAGCGGATATGCCTTGAAACTGGTCTCATTGCGACGCTTGCTTACCATGCACTACGTTTCCGAAGTCATTTTCCGAGCCGGCTGGCTTGTGGGCAGTTTGGATATGTTAGGAAACGTGACCGGTTTGTTACATTCCTTGACCGACGGCTTGCGCGATTTGGTACACATGCGCCGGTCACAGGCAAGGAACCATCTGCCCGATCTTGTCCCCGTCGATCCGTCCACCGCCGACACTTCCAAGGCAGCTGTTTCCCTCATTACGAATACCACCAATAGCAGCGAGTACGTGGTGGTCATGGGTGACGTTTCGAAAAATTCGCTTAATCCCAGCACTCCTACCGATGTCGGGTTGATTCCCACTCAAGATACCGCTCCGTTTTGTCGAATCTTTCATGGATTGACCTCATTGAACCGTCACGCAACGGGGTAAGTTTCGTTCTGCCTCCACTATAACAGTTTCATGCAAATCCGGTCTCCGTGAAAGTCTGACGTATCCCTTTGTTCCACTTGGCTTCTGTGTACATGTTTCCTTAAGGTTTCTGATGTCCCACATTCTTCGTATGTTTTCATGCGTTTCTATTACGAACAACAACAGCAGTTCATCATTCGTACTAGTTCTTCACCGAAGTAAAACCCTAAGGGTTTTACTGATGGTGGCTAACAGAAGAATGGAAGGAGAAGATAACGCTAGATCCACATGCTCCGAGTAACCAGTCCATATCACTGCACGGTAACAGACAGCCGGATTTCGTTTGAAGCTAAGGTGACACTGCTGAATACGTCACTGCTGACCGTCGCGAACCTCGGACCACTCACCAAGTGAGTTGTGTGTACTTCATTCCAAACAGGGGGGGGGCAAACCATCAATGCATAATCTATCAGTCGGACTTCATTCCCCACTTCCAATTTGGCACTCACGTGTTTGTAGCTTGGTACAGGCACCTTAATCCTGAACGAATGCATACGGTGTTTAATTTTATCTTTACTACCATTCTTCCCTCTTTTATTTCTGCAATGATTGGGTGGTTTTGTTTCATAACTGTCATACATTAGTACTTTGCACTGATACAGCAATGTTTACGGTACACTTCTGAGTGGGAACAATTCCATACTCCCCTACAGCAAAGCTCTGGATTTCCATTATCCTAGACGTGCATTTTTGTGACAGTTACCTTAGTTTGCCAACTTTTGTTTTATGTCTCTTGAGACCAAACAATACCTAGGAGGTTTCAAAATGAAAGTGAACTTTTCCTATAACATCTTTATTGCTCATTTTGCATTGTCCGCCTCAAAGTAGTCCCCTTTACTGGCAGTATTCTGTTCTCAACGATGTTTCCATTTTTGGTAAGATTCCTGGAAGGCATCTTCTCGGATGGCGTGCAAGTCTCTTGTCACATTGTTCTGAATCTCCCTTACAGTTTGGAAACCACGTCCTTTCCGCATGATTTCCAGTTTGAGAAACAGGAAATAGTGTTAGGACTTGGTCCGAAAAATATTGTGGATGGAGCACAATGGGAGTTTGATGTTTTTCTAGACAGTTGTGAACAAGGGGTGATGTGTGAACCGGTGCATTGTCATGATGGAACATCCAACTCTGCAGTTCCCACAGTTCAGGCCGCTTCCTACGCACAATACCCATCAAACGCGCTAGAATTCCCTGATATTTCTTGTTTGCTGTCTGACCACGTGGTACAAATTTCTGATGGGCATTGTCTTTAGCCTCAAAAGATACAACCAAACACACTTTGATCTCTGATCGACTCGTGTCTGCTTTTTAGACTAGGAAACCCTTTCTGCATCCGCTGCGACGACTGCACCTTTGTTTCAGTAACAGCCATAAACCCTCATCTCATCACCTGTTATCCTGTTCTTTACATTAGCATTTGCAGTGGAAGGAATTTTCTGGCTGGTTTCAACACAGTTCTGTTTCTGATCGTCAGTCAACAAACGCGGCGCAATTTTAACCTAACACGACGCATTTCAAGCTTGTCGCCAAAAAGTTGATGCATGATTTTACCTTGGTGCCCACTTCATCAGCAACTTCTCGAACAGTTAGAGGACGATTTGTATGAATCACAACAGGAGCTCTCTCGTTATGGTCATCGTCTGTTGCTGTGGAAGATCGTCCATGATTGAGGCTGTCACCGACCAACCTTCTACCGTGTTCAAAACGGTTAACCCCTTATTGGACTGCGTGCGACTCATGCATTTAAAAGAGCAAGAAGAAGCAACACTTCAGATATTTGTTGTATTCTCATCAGCTGTGTACAGACAATCCGTGGAATCGGTATCTTGCACACACGACGATAAGATGGTGTGTGAAATCGGTCGGTTTCACTAAATCTAATCGATAATCTCACCAGGGCAGGGCGAGGGTAGTCACAAACTCTGTCTATTTCAACCGACGAATCACTGAAGCCTATACAAACTGGAACAGACGAGCGGTGCCCTATCGATTAATTATCTTGAACCATTCCCGCGGGTGTTGGCATCTAGGACCATTGAGCATGTGCTACGAGATGGAGTTTGTGGGCAACTTATTGCCATTTTCCACCAGATTGCGTGGGACATGTTCTGAAATCCTCGTGGACGGCCTCCAAACAGTTCCGCCCACGTACTACCTACACCAATTACAGTGAAACTTGTAGATTCAAATAACGGTAACTCTAGAGTTCGGCTTGTCCAAAATTGGATTTGTTGATC